AGCCTATGCTAAGGCGTGCCTTTTTGTTGATTGCACCCCCTTTGGTCGTTTTAAGGGAACACCCAAAAGCAAACCGGTGCCAATGTCCGGGGGGCGCGGCAGATTTTGGGATATGGCCATGGGTCAAAATCCAAATCATACCCCCAGTGAACATCCGAATTTCCACTAAAATCGGTTCTAAACTGGGTGGTGAATTCACCTTCCCCAAAAAGGTACCAAAAAGGTTTTGCGGCAGATGTTCAAAGGATGGCCATGGAACATCCCAATCCCCACTAAAATAGACCAAAACGGGATCCCAAAAAAGCTTTGACCCACAGCCATAGGGTGCTGCGCTTCATTTTCTCTGGGCGAGGGGCAGGGACTGCAGCATGCCGTGGTTGTGGCCGCCGCCCGCCAGCGCCAGGGACAGGGTGGCGAAGGTGTGCTGGTGCTCGCTGTTGACCTCACAACAAAACACCAAGAAGGGCCCTCAAAGGGGGGCTATGAGGGGGGGCTATCCCTTATTAAGCCCTTTTTAAGGCCTTAGTAATGGCCTAGCTTATCCAGAGACTGCTCCAGGGAATAAGAAATGGAATGAGCCCAAGAAAAACCAAACTGGTGGTTCCTTCAACGGGTACCCTGGCTTCATTCCCAGATTCCATGCTGAGCACCAGCAAGACAACTCCGCTTCAGTCAGATTCTGTATGTCATACTGTGGGATGAACTCCACGCAGGCACCACTTGGGATAGATGAAACCCTAATAGGATAAACCACCAATCCCAACTGGTGCAGGATTCTGTCCATCCGCTGTGCTTAGTCTACCCTGGAAATTGAACTAATTTTGGAGGAAGAAGATAAGGCCAAAGCAGCAGGAAGTGGCCCTAAGGGACAAGATCCGCCTAGAATTCTACCAACATGAATCATGACATGGGATATCTTGCGGACGTTTCTCATATCAGGGCGACACCTAGGCTCAAGCTAAAAAGCCATCCGATGAATGGTACATAGTTGGAAGGTCAATTAAATTGAATTTGCTGGTTGCGTCCCCCAAACCGTCCGTGCCAACCCATCATCATTGTACTGCCATCTCACTCCGATTCGCCCATGGGTCGACTGGGAGTGGACACTGGAGCCCTCTGAAGGCATCCGTCATGGAGCTGGAAAGCTGCCGGGAAAGCCTTGGATGAGTCGCACGTCCATCTCATAAGAGTCACCCTTCTCCCCTTGCCACACCGAGACTCCAGCCCACACAATTCTACACCCGCAAGTCCCATGCTTGCTTGCTCTGCACCCGCAAGTCCCATACTTGCTTGCACAATCTTGCACGTTGAGTGCTTATTCCCCACACCCAGCCATGGGTCGAAATGCCACGGCAAACTTCATTCGACTTCTTTCCCAACCACCCGGTGCTTCACGCCTTCCAACTCTCCGGGGCGTCCCCGACCCCACCCCGAACGCAAAAGCCCAAGGCCGGGACAGCCCGCGGCAGCTTCACGCCCAAGGACCTCACACAAAGCTCCGAGCGCGTCGGGCACGTGGGCTGGCCGGGGAGTGCGCGTGTTTTTAAAGCTGTCACGGTACGGAGAGGGGGCATTCATAACATGAAGATGCGTAGAGTCCGTTTTTGGAGGTACGCCTGCGTTTTCACAAGTGCAGGTTGTTGTTGTTTTGCTTTTCTCGCTCTATTTAGTGCACCGGAGCCTGAAAAAAGAGCACGCCCTCAGCGCAGCTGGTGACCTTCATAGAACATGTCGACCAACCGATGTCTCAGGCTTCCCGGAGCGCTCACGGCTCCATGTGCTTCGGAACATGATTGAGTCATGCGGGTTTCGACATCCCTGTGATGTTGTTTTTCCCCCTGGCTTCTAGTCTTCTACGTCTGGTGTATGGCCACTCGGCTTGAAATAAAATGCACATGCATGCTACCTATATATGTATGTGTATGTGTATACAACAAACTATAACGATACATTAATTGGTCTACTACAGACATCCGTAAATACATTTACCTGAAGCGCCTCAGCTCGCATACACGTTGTAAGCATCTACTGATACGCAGCATCTCAGTCACAGCAACCGTCAAAGTTCAGTATCCCCCGACCCCACCCTTTTGGTAGAAACACCTACCGAAACACAACATGTCAGAAACAACAATAATTCATATCTATCACAATATTCCACCTCAGGTGGCAACACATACTGAGACACTCCAGAAACAAACACACTGAATCATATTCAGAACAACACACACACACGATCAGTTGTCAACACGTCTCAAACACAAATGAAACCAGGTGCCTCGTCCTATGGAACCAGCGTTGCGACGAAACATGTTCTTCATAAGGCCCTTCCAACCCCATTCCCCACCCCCCACCCCACGCCATGCCGTACGTGGCGCAAGCGGCATGAGTCTTTGCAGACTTGAACAAGGTGGTTGCAAAATAGATCCCAAGTATCCACCACACTTCCCCCACAGCCCCCGCCGTTTGGAAGACTTTGTCTCCACCATGCTGAATCCTTTCGTGCTATGTTTGTGTGTGTGTGTAAGCGTGTCTTGTCGTAGCTTCCTCAACAAGACAAATCTTGCAACTGGACCATGTATCATGGTGGTCCAAATTGCTGGCTAAAAAATCAGGCGCACTCGTTGACCGGTTCACAACCATTGTCAACATAGCTACCCCGCTCGCCAGGCATAGGCGGTAAGAGCCTTTCGTGCTCGACGCGGGCCCGAGCTCCCGGCTGCGTGAAGAGGGAGTAGAGCTTGATGAAAAGGGCCACCGCGTTCTCGCCAGTGAAGGACCTCAGCGTTGGCAAAGAATCCAACGGATGAATCAACTCGTCCTATTCCTACTGCGGATGGACGAAATCCGTTCGCACCGCTTTGGAGCCATGGGAAACCATTGTTCATTGGCATTTACAGGGGAGTCATCAATCCAAGTGGTGCGAAATGGATTTCGTCCATCCACAGGGGGGCGGGGGTCCCTCCAAAACTGATGGTTCTCCACTAAACCTCTACAGCGCAGCGTATGCAAGAGGAATTCCCACAGCCGTGTCACATTTCCTCCCGATGTTTGCCACACTGAGTAGGTGAGCGTGATAAGAAAGCTGCGCCATCGTTGAGGACGAAGCCGCGCACCGTGCGAGCCTCGCAACACTTACGCTTTACATCAGGTGGGGCTCGGCTGCAGCCGAATGCCTCAACGTGCGAAACAAAAGAAACACAAACATTCAAGATGCTCTTGGCACCGAAACCTGTACACGCAAAACCTGTACATGCAAGCACAGCGCACCCAGACCTACCTTTCAGCAACACAGGTCATCTCGCTGCCGCCCAGCAATTGCCGGCACTCTGCGTTACCACAGCACTGCTGCGTCTGCTGACCTGGCCCACCGCAAGTGCCGTGCTCAGCAACGCAACTTTGCTGCTCAACGCACTTCATCTCGCTGCCGCCCAGTAATTGCCGGCACTCTGCGTTGCCACAGCACTGCTGCGTCTGCTGACCTGGCCCACCGCAAGTGCCGTGCTCAGCAACGCAACTTTGCTGCTCAACGCACTTCATCTCGCTGCCGCCCAGCAATTGCCGGCACTGTGCGTTGCCACAGCACTGCTGCGTCTGCTGACCTGGCCCGCCGCAAGTGCCGTGCTGAGCAACGCATTTTTGCTGCTCAACGCACTTCATCTCGCTGCCGCCCAGCAATTGCTGGCACTCTGCGTTGCCACAGCACTGCTGCGTCAGCTGACCTGGCCCACCGCAAGTGCCGTGCTCAGCAACGCAACTTTGCTGCTCAAAACTTTGGCGCTCAACGCACTTCATCTCGCTGCCGCCAAGCAATTTCCGGCACTCTGCGTTGCCACAGCACTGCTGCGTCTGCTGACCTGGCCCGCCGCAAGTGCCTTGCTCAGCAACGCAACTTGGCTGCTCAACGCACTTCATCTCGCTGCCGCCCAGCAATTGCCGGCACTCTGCGTTGCCACAGCACTGCTGCGTCAGCTGACCTGGCCCACCGCAAGTGCCGTTCTGAGCAACGCAACTTTGCCGCTCAACGCACTTCATCTCGCTGCCGCCCAGCACTTGCCGGCACTCTGCGTTGCCACAGCACTGCTGCGTCAGCTGACCTGGCCCACCGCAAGTGCCGTGCTCAGCAACGCAACTTTGCTGCTCAAAACTTTGGCGCTCAACGCACTTCATCTCGCTGCCGCCAAGCAATTTCCGGCACTCTGCGTTGCCACAGCACTGCTGCGTCTGCTGACCTGGCCCGCCGCAAGTGCCTTGCTCAGCAACGCAACTTTGCTGCTCAACGCACTTCATCTCGCTGCCGCCCAGCAATTGCCGGCACTCTGCGTTGCCACAGCACTGCTGCGTCAGCTGACCTGGCCCACCGCAAGTGCCGTGCTGAGCAACGCAACTTTGCCGCTCAACGCACTTCATCTCGCTGCCGCCCAGCAATTGCTGGCACTCTGCGTTACCACAGCACTGCTGCGTCTGCTGACCTGGCCCGCCGCAGGTGCCTTGCTGAGGTACACACTGCTTTTGAGGCCTAACACAGACGCTGCCGAAAGCGGAGTCGGAACGGCAGTCCATGTTGCCACAGCATGAACTCGCACGAATCCAAAACATCCAAGGCTTCGGTCTGCAAGGCGCACCCTCCTCAGCTTGGCAGCCTCGCAACGAAGCCATGGAATTCTCGGCGGCAACCAACCCCAAGCAGCAGGCCAATGCCAAACGAGCCATGCTGTAACTTGCCACAGGCGGGGGGATGATGTTGGTCGTGGGCTGGCTGTTGCTGGCTTGAGCAAATAGGCGACCCAAGCTTTCAGCATGAGCTCCGACCACGGGTGAGCCCTTGATTATCATTTTGTTGAGAGGCCATCATCAAACATATCAAACCAACCGTTTTGTAAGGTCGATGTTTCTGTATTGAGACAAAACCATGATGAATGGCGCCGCATGACACCTGACGGCGTTCTGTGGAAGGCAGGCCTACCTTGATCATTACAAATCTCAGGTTCCATAGGACCTTCTGGTCAGAATGGTGAAAGCTGATTAGTCGATGTCTGCACAGAAAACCAAACACCTTCCTGCCGAGGTCGTGCTTGCACGCAAAGGCTGCCTGTTCTTGCCAAGTCTTGCGGGAATTCGGCACTTCCAACCTCGATTCCTGACAAAGAGCGAACTATGGCATGCCCAAACAAGCGCAGACCATAGCCCAAGACAGGCTGAGTTGTTCATCCCACTTCTAGCCCTGCGCTATAGACTGGACAAAACACAGATCCAACGACTGGGCCGGCGGCATCTCGGGGTCGTTGACGACCTCTTGGATGTGCTCCACCTAAGCGAATCACAGGGAGCCGCTCGCTGGCATCACCCGTCGCACAAGTCTGGCCCAAGCCATGGGTGAAAGCAAATGCCATGGGCTCCAACTAGAAATCCCCCAGCCAAACATCAGGCTAACGGACACTCACCTTTCAACGAAAGGTGATGTAACCATCCAAAACGGATGGACAAAATTTAATGCGAGCCCTGGAAAGACAGACTCGCCTTCGATTTCGCCAAGATGCGGCCATGACGTAGGGCATATTTCGCATGGTCGGGACCTCAGCTGCAGCGCTTCCGCTTGGCACCCGGAGCTAGATGAAGTCAGCGCACCGAGCCACTGCACACGCTCCAGTTAGGAAAATGCCAGACAGAACCAATACTATCGTATGTATGAATGTGTGGCATGAAAAAATAACATGTGAATACAAATACATAGGTATGCATTTATATAGTGTATATGTGTATACCTATATATATATATATGTATGTATGTATGTATGTATGTATATGCATCATATGCAGCAACCATGCAGAATATGTATTCACACCATCCAAACAAACGGGTACATACGACAGTCATGCATAGGCCCAGAGCCGATAACGTTAGACCTCCTGGAGTACTAGTAACCTCTATTGTAGAAACTTGTTTTCTAATTCAGGATCCTGTGATTGTTTTAGGAGTCCTCTATTATGGAAAGTTTGTCCCCCCCCCCCAACAAAAAAACTAGAGGACGATTGCCCCGAAAGCATTCTTCCCCAAGTGCTCTTCCAGAAAGTTTACTTCGCGTACTACTTTCGAACTTAGAAGTTGCGATTTTTCGGCCGGAGCTGCCAAAGTTTACTTCGCGTACTACTTTCGAACTTAGAAGTTGCGATTTTTCGGCCGGAGCTGCCAAAGTTTACGTCGCGTAATGCTTTCGAACTTCAAAGTTGCAATTTTCCAGCCGGAGCTGCGCAAGTGTACATCGCGTACTACTTTCGTACGTAAAAGTTGCGATTTTCCAGCCGGAGCTGCGAAAGTAAGTGTACTTCGCGCTAAAAAGTTGCTTTCGTACTTAAAAGTTACGATGTTCCAGCCGGAGCTGCGAAAGCGTACTTTGCCTACTACCTTCATACTTAAAAGTTGCGATTTTCAATGTTGTCAGGTTCTGTGACCAAAGAACAACAACGTCCTTTGCATCCTTGGCATAGCGCGCTTTGCAGCGGTATTGCACATGCGGCACGCCATCTTGTCCTAAGTGCTTTTGGAACTTGACTGCATGCATAGGTTCTGCGCTTGAAAGAGTCGCTTGCACCCTTGCACATTTCAACTCCACAAAATTATCTGCAAGCTCGTCAATCACATCCCAGCCTTCTGTCGACTCAAAGTCAATGCTGCTAACAGCCAAGATCTTCCAGCATCCATTGCAAAGCATGTGGCCCGCCTGGCTGCAACAATTGTTGCGGACTGCCTCTGGCAGCTGTTGAACACGAAGTACGCGGCACCGATCATGGAGCTATGTGAGTAACAGGCACTGGCACGGGCATGGTTGATTCATGGTTGCACTGCTTCAATGCAACGATTCTTTATTTGGCGACTCTTTTTTTCTCTTGCTTCACATCTGGCTCTTGACAAGCTTGCTCCCCCATGCCCCATAAATGCGCGCTTGCCGGTGAAACATCCTAAAGCTATTCGGAGCGATACTCTGCCTCCATGTCCCGGCAGTCCCGCAGCTGGGCGTCGGCCTCGGCGTCGGCTTCTTCCTGCTGCGACGCCTCATCTGCGTCCGCGTGCGGCAGGTGGACGTGTGGCTCGATCTCCACTCTGCGCGGGCTGCCGCTGTCGCTACTGGTCTGGGCTTCGCCCTGGCCGTCGCTGCCACCGCTGAAGCTTCGGTTGGAGCTGCTATGCCTAGGGATGGGCGGGCTGCTCGCCCTGGGAGTGAGAGGCGGCGCCGGCAGACTTTGCAGCCAGCGGCTGAAGCAGCTGCCGCATGGCGCGCACCGCTTGCAGTCGCCCTCGCTGCGGCTGTGTGGGAAGTAGAAGTAGCGAAACCGCGCCGCCATCATAGCATTCTGCGTCTCCACGTCCACCCCTTCGCGGTACGCGTCTTCCGTGGAGATCCGCAGTTTGTCAGATCCGCTGATAAAAATGGCATGCCGTTTGCGGACTCGGTGTTCACGTTTCGAGGCATGGGCACAGCGACGCGCTGCCCCTCCAGTAACACCAGCAGGCTGTCCCAGCCAATCCGCATGCTCTGGGGCCGGAGATCCTGCAGCACGGCTACCTTCTTGTTCACGATGCCCTGCAGCGGACAGTTGCATTTGTCTGCGGGCCTGGTGTAGGTAAGCTTGGCGCCGAAGATGTACGTCACCGGGTCGATCGCGCAGGATGTATGTGCGTTCCGCAAGACACTTCTAGGGACACGTTCAACTGCAAGGCACTAGTGCATCCACAGTGGATCCGTAATCTGGAGCATGCCCGGCTGCCAGAAAGCTCGGAAACTCTTTGGCGGCTGCAAAAAACTCTGATGGCCGTGCTGGATGAGAGGGAGCCAATGCGTAAGCGGGCGCGTCCTCCTCCCAGCCATCCACGACCAATGAAGCCGACGATGCGTACAGGGCCACTTGCGCTGTGCACACTCCCGCCGCCTCGTCAGCACCACTAGTCCTCCGAGCTCGCTTCTTCGGTGAAAACCGGCTTTCCGCCATTGCAGTTGTTCGTGCACTAACACCGACGCGCTTCCTTGAGCCACGCAAACATACCGAAGGTACGATGGATGACTGCGCCGAACTACCCTGCCAGCGATGCGGACA